GTTATCCACAGCCACCAGATCACCTGATTAACAATTCGACATCTGTATTAACCACTAAGGGTTTCAGTTTGTACTTTGTACTAAATTATTTATTTTCCTTTCAGTGTAGGTCTGTAAGTTTTCATTTGTCATTATTAGGATTGTTAAATTAATTGTGTTTTGATTTTGTTGAGGATATCAGAGTAATGTGTTCTTAGATGTTTCGCACTTTACTGGTTTTTTTTTTTTTGTAATATAAATGGCTTCAAGTAGTTTTCTGTTATTTTTTTGTTCTATGCCTATAATTTGTGGTTTGTTGAAGTTGCATTTGTGTAGCATTTCCATGCTATGGTATGCTAAAGCTGTGGTGCTCTGAATAACACCTTTAATGAAATGTTTAAAATAAGACAAAAGAGCACACATATATAAATATCCTATACATTATTTCTAAAAAGCTTTTTTTTGTCGGTGCGCCATAACTTCGTCAATTTTTCTTCAAATCCAATGATTGTCTACTCATTTTAAAGATATTCTGCTCCTTCTCAGGCAAAAAATAGTCCTATTCTCCCGAAATTTCTGGAAAAAAAGTTATGGAAGAAAGAAAAAAGAAACCTTATTTGCGAATAACTCAAAAAGTATGTATTTTTCTCTGGATTGTACCCATGATAATTAGAAAGAATACTAAATTACCTACGAAACAAAAAAATAATCGTAAAATGCGGACAATTATTAACAAAGATACAGTCCATAAGTTTTGGTATACTCAATGTTGTCTTTCTGTTTAAAGATATTGCATTTAGGAGTAGAATAGTCTACTACACTTCTTTCCTGGCTTTTATATTAACTTCATAATTTCTTAAAGACATTTGGTTGTTCTTACATTTTATTTTTTTTAATAATTTAGAATGCCCTATGATCGGGGCATTGTTTTGTCTTTATTACTTTTATTATCTTTCCAGTCATCGTTTAAAAATAGGTCCTAGCAAAACGATATGTATATATATTTTGGTCTATTATGTTTAATGGAATATTGTAATCGACTAAGGAGAAAATATTAATTCCTTCCTTACATAATACATAGGAACTACTTATTTCCATATTGTTTTAATATTTCTTCACTAAACAAAATTATCTGCGATTTTTCTGCACGGGCCAACTAGTGGCTAATTAATTCATTAACGACTTTTAAAGTGACAAACTTGGAACAACAGTTATTTCATAATAATGCTTTTATTTTAGAAATCTGTATAAATGAATAGCAGGAATAGTTCCGATGATGAGAAAAAGATCCCTAAACGTCAACTATATATCAGTATAATATAACAAATACAACATTTGTTTGCATCCATGGAAGTTTTTACTGTCAACCCCTGAATAATTCAACAACTTCCTAACAAAAGAAGAAAAGACATAATATAGATATTTATATCACGTATATGTATTACCTATATGAGTATTTGGTGGTTGGAGTGCCTTAATAGAATTAATTTAGTTAAGAATGATCAACTAATGCGGTTAGAAGTATATTAATTACCTTTTTCTCAGTTAGTTAAGCTCCTTAGAGAATTAATGGAATGAAATGTCAGACTTAGAAGGGTAAACAGAGAATAGATTAAATGCACCCAGCCTGCATAAAGTGGGTACCGAATCCGTGTTTTACGATATTTGAACGATGAGTTGGACTTCAAATCTTTTACAATCAACTCTAAATCATAATGATGAAAAATTACTGCCGTGGGTTTCTTCAATACTGAGGTTCATTACAGGATCACCGAAGGAGCTTTTTAAAAAATAATATCAATTTATATATACTGCCATCATCTATCGAATTATTGAAACTTTTCGGTTTTCTTCTAAATAGGGTACCAGTATTATATTATCAGGGAGTATTGATGAAAATATTGACGATTACAGATCACGTGCAGTCAGTATATTGACAGTATTTTTAAAGTCTATGATTCGTTTAATCGAATGGTGGTGGTATCGAAGAACTCCATTATGACAAAATAAACCGAAACGCGATGGTGCTATCTCGAAATCGGTAATTTTTTCATGAACTCGGCATAATTTTAAAATCTCAAAAGAAAAATTGAATATAGTTATAAATGAAATAATTAATTATTCAATATATTATTCGTATTAAATAAATATTTTTAATTAGTGATGTATATAATAATGTACATGAGCTAATCAGTTTTTTTTCAATGAATAATTAACAAATCATAATTAATCATTAATTAAAAGATAAAACATTTTTATTTCAAAATAGACTTACACCCTTTTGCTTATAGTATATCCTTACTTGCCTTCGGTAATGCTTCATAAAATATTTATATCTAGTTATTAAATTCAACAATATAAAAAATTAACATGGTTATAACCCATATATAGAATAAACAGGGATAGATTAACAGTTTTATATATCGTAGGCTTCTTGCAAAAAGTCCTTAAATAACATTTTAATGAATTTGAGATAATCGAATTTGAATTTTCTGATTTGTTAAAAAAAATACTAAAAATTTAACTATTAATTTTTTGTTATTTGCAATTCCAAATATGTATGCTATTTTCTACTATTAATTAAAATACTTGGCATTTACATAACAATGAAAAAAAAATGAATCCACGACGCACATAATGATTTTTTTTAACACCATCATGCTTAAACAAAACACTACCATACTTTTATAATATTGCAAGTACATAGAATATGAGTTAGACTTTTCTCACTTACATTAGTTTTATTAACCATCTGATCAATTAGTCCAGTGAAAGAAGTCATTAAGTACTAGATAGTGAGTTTTTGCTTAGTCAAACAATTTTTTTATGTATAAAGAATTTGTATTATTTGTATGTACTTAATGAGTTATCGAATCTATAAATATGATCGAAATTAACAACTACGAACCTTCAGATAAAAATCCGCCAATGATGTATACTTAATGACTTTTGGCAATAAACTGACTATATTTTTTATGATTTTTTTTTTAGAGGTACTCAAAAACGAATATGCTAAGGGTCCCAAACAGTCCAGTTAAGCAGCTCCCTACCTAATATGAAAATTTAATACAGATATTATTATCAATAGCTGCTTTGATAATTGTAAACAATACTTTTTTAAAAAATAAATCTGATTGAGAAAATCACTTTCAAATGTCATTTCTTTACCAGAACCAGAAACATTATTCCTACACGAAGAATACAAGGAGAGATTCGACCTTGGCTATAAGCCAATCTCTCCTCGCTTTGAAGATAACATCTTAAGATGCCGTATTATTGCGCTGTTGTTTATTACTTGTCGAAACAGTTTGCATATATTACCTGTTGAACGCTAGTGTGCCATTTCTCCTCCTTTCTGATTTTGTTTGGTATTAAGTTTTTTTTTTTTTTTTGTTGTATAAATTAATTATTCCGCACTTGTTCAAGTCTCCTGTTCCTACCCGAGGTAAGAAACAAAAACTCTATTATTTTACATAAACTTTTTTTAAATTTAATTCATCAAAGTCTCTGATAGTGGATAGATGGTTGGCTGTAGTAAAAAATCAAAGTAAAAATGAATATATTATATTATATATATTTATATAATACAATTTATTTATTTTTTCTTTGTATTTTGACTTGAAACCCCACCTATATCATAGGCACTAGGACTTTTGATAATTTCTTTTGAAATAATCTGTCTATAAATTGTCCATACTGAGAAGGTTTATTGACAAATAACAAAATCTATACTATATATATATGTATATTTATATTAATAAGTCCACATAGATTACTTTAAAGTGAAGAATATTGCAATTATATTCGCATATATAATGTCTGTAATTTGTCGATATTTTTTAAGGAAATGAAGGAAGCTTAATAAGCTGTTACACGGGCATAATGTTTCTTACACAGGCTCTGTTGTCAAAATTTATATCTATAATATAATATAAAATTAATAACATTCTGTATTGCTACCATATAAATTACTTGTTTATTGTTATAATGACTAGATATTAGCAATCAAAATTTTTTATCTTATAAAGTATTATTGTGAACCAACAGCGAAGTTATTGTATGCTGTAGTTTTCTTTTATTATTGTTTTATATTAACTTATTTTGTAAAAATTAACATCAATTATAGTTATTCTGTTTAGTTGATTTGTTTTTAAGGCATATATTTTTCCTTTCGATCCATAATATTATTGTATTTGTATAAAAACCCTATCATTCTAGGAAGACCACTAGCGGATCCAGGATTTAATTTTGGGGGGGGCTTCAGCCCGGAAGATTTTTTTTTCATAAAAATAACGATATTTACTTTGGAAAAATAGAAAGAAACTAACTATCTATATGAAATGGTGTTTAAGTGATTCCTTAAGTCCTTTTAAATGTAATTAAACCAACAATAATACTTTAAGAGGTATTTTTTAATTTTTCCCCCATAAAACGTGGTTATGTTTTACCATTTTGGGGGGGCTTCAGCCCGAAAGTCCCCTCCCCCCCCGTAGATCCGCCCGTGAGGAAGACTAAATTTTATCTTGTACAAATAGTTTTCTACTCACATAGCTTATTTTAAAATCCTAGGATGAAACAAGAAAATGTTTTTACATTTTAAGTGTACTTTTACACTTATAATTTTTTTTTTTTTTTTTTTTTTTTTTTTTAGGATGAAACAGACTATGAAGTTTTTCCATAATTTGTTAATGATTTGCTGAATCTTCACACGGTTTTATTTATACGTAGAACAGTTAAATAATTTAGTACAATAAGTCTGTAGTTACCTATTCAAATGGATCTGATTTCTTATTTAGCCATTAAAAATGAAGTTTACGGTTAAGATATTAGTTGTTAGTTAACCTTCAAGATTGATAAGCAGGGGAAAAAAGCGGTTTTTTTCTAACCACTTGGTTTGTACGATCGTTTGGAATTTTTTTTCTTTTTCATCATTGGGCAGAAATGCATCTTAAGGTTTTTAAGTGTCACATATAAACATATATTATTTTACTCGTATTAAGATTGATCCCCTCCTGTTCCAGATGGGTACCCCTCGTGGGCTGTGCTTGGACAAAGGCCTTTCAGGAGTGCCACAACTGCTGGAGGACCTCCAGAGGCTCTCCGAGGACAAGGACAGCGCCGACATAGTCTTCCTGGTTGGAAGGGAGGAAGTACCTGTATATGCTCACCGTCTCATCTTGATGACCAGGTAACAGCCAATTTATGAATTAGTGTTTTATCTTAATCGATGTAATATCCTAAGATCTTCCTGAACGTAATGGATTCTCGGGTTAGCTTAAAGAAAAGTATCCTTCATTCAAGGAATACATTGCATTTTTTTTTAGTATTCTCCATCTCTTCACCAGTTATCTATATACAGCTCTATTGCATCTTTGTTATTTCATCTATCCATCGGTTTTTGGCTTTCTTGTGATCTGTTGAGACACCAATTGTTGGGTAGAAGCTTCCTGGTGGATTACTCCGAACTACATGCTCCGTACTAGCGCTTAAGCTCCTTGCCTGTATATCATGAGATATTCATTGACTAGTGTCTGTAAGCAGTTCTTTATTGGTATCTTTCCTCCATGCTCTATTCCTCCATATTAGTAATCTCATTCCAGATCACACTGGTGTCGAGTTCTCGCAGCCTTATATGAGAACTGGCTTTATCTTTATCATAATCTTTTAATTCCTTAATTTGTGATTTCCTCACATTTTTTGGGACTTTCCTCAAATTTTCGCTTGTTACACGCTGGACCATTCCGACCGTTGGTCATTCGTTTAGCTTATTGTGGAACCGAGCTATTTTAAGTTGTCTACTCTGGGGAATGATACACTGCTTCAATCACATAAATTCGTCTAATACATAATTTATTTCATTTCTTTTCTTCTGGAAATATAGAAGTTGATCCTTTAGCATACCACATATGTTTACTATAAACATCTAATATACATTTTATCTACTATTTAGGCCCCGAGTTCAAATCTTATTAATTCCAAGCGCTAGTCTTAAAACAGAATTCGTCTACTTCTTACAAAATAAAATGTAAAATTATGACTGGGCTATGAACTCATTTGGCTGATGGGAGGGTTGTCCTACAAGTTGCCAATCTAAAAGCGCATGATTGGCGAGTGTGTTCGAATCTGGCGAGGACTGAATTTTATTTGTGGCGGAGATTCATGGAATGAATCTCTTGTTGGATCTTCCCACTCTTGTTGGATTAGGTTTGGTCATACCTCTCGAATAATCTCCCACTACCATGTTAGCCAGAAATAGCGAGGTACGGGGTAAACGTAAAAAAAAAAGTTGCCAACATATTATCGAAAGAATAAGAAGGTACTTATTCATTATATTGTGACTATCAGGGAATATAAAAATCCGCATTTGAATGATCATATCGATTCGGTTAGAAAAATGAAATTTCAGTATATATATTTTAATTAGTTGACGAGGAATAATAGATAAACATTTTTTATGGTGATCTTCGTCCACTTACAATTATCAAGCATAGAATATAGAAATATGGAGGATTTAAATAGGGTTCTTAAATTTTTCATCCTACTTCAATGAAACTTACACTTTCACTTTCTGTTGTCTGTCCCATGTATTCTTCCTATTTCTCTGTTTTCAAACATTTCACTCCGAAAATTCAAAAAACCGTCAAAATAAGCCACCCTCAAAAATTTTAAGCACCCTTCAGTACAGTAATCTTATACAAGCATATATCTTCATTTTTTTTAATTAAGTTAATTATTTGGTAAAAGTAAAAAAAATATTTTTTTATTGTAATATTATTTATTTTATTAGTTATTAAAATGGTCAGTTTAATTTTAGCGGCATTTAAAATAAATATGAAGTACTTTCAACTAATTTTAGTTTCGTTAGTTTTTTTTTTTTGTTCGTTAAACTGTATTCACAAAGTTGATTGTAGCATATATATTTATCAAGCCGTATCAACGCAGAATATCGTTAGCTGTAATTAAGGTTCTGATTTGTGAGCCTTTCTGGAGTTATCTGGATGATGTCAAGAGTTATCTGGGTGATAAGGCATCTTCAGGACCTCTTGCGAGGAAGGACACTTATCAGATGACAAGATAAATCTCTTCTCATTGAACTTGGCTTCCTTCATCAAAGAATCGCCCAACTCATTTAGGAAGTTTTCCCCATCCACCGCGTAACGATTTAGAAATACATTTACTGTTCCAAATAAATAGATGTTTTTTTCAAATATTATTTTAATTTTATTGTTTTTTGTCAATAACAGGTTACTATTTCAAATGATGAACATTTGTAATGCTGACCCTCCTTTCAAATTTAATTATAATGTACATAGAATCCAAGAAGACAATCCGAGTAAAAAAATCCCGTTTTTACAGAATACGAAGGTCTCTTCAGGATATTCTTTACTTGCCTATGATAACTGGATAGCGGATAAACTACTCGTATTTCGGACTCATTAAAAAGAAAAACATAAAGTATTTTGGAATTATTGAACTAAAGAATATATAAAAAATATACCAATAAACCATTATGTAGTAAATTTCAGCGTTTTTTTCTGTGAAACAGTGTAACTAATTCCGATTGATTCTACTAAATCATAAAACTTTTATTCTTTTCTTATATTATAAAAAAAAAATCCAAATATCATTATTTTTTATAATAATAATAAGTTATTTTATATAACTGTTAATAGTATAGTGCTGTTTATGGCTATACGGTGGCACGCAGGAAAATTTCTACTTGTGGTTTAATCATTATAAATAAATTTGAAAGTATTAAATTGAGGAGGCTGATGTGGGCATGATTAATTTCTCTGGAATATTAGGATTACCAAAACAGATATTACATGAGTACGCTGTGAATAGTATTAAGACTTAACCGATTGTAGGAATTTGGTGGAATCTTCAGATATTTCGTTCTGGTCTCAGCTACTCCTACCACAGTCATGTTGATGTAAATGCTACTGGGAGTAGCGAGTACCAAGTATTTTACTCGAATACTCATTTTTTTTTAGTACCAAAGAATTTAATTACTACTTCAGTTGATGTCAAATGATTAACTGAAGTAGTGATTGAATTTCCAATAGTGATTCAATTTGAGTAAAACATTTGATACTCGGTACTCAGTGTAGCATTTGCCCATCTCTGCTGTCCAAGTATAAAGTTCCTTCTTCTTGCTGCTTCCAAACTCTTCTTTGCAACACCTTCGATTTACTTCTCTACTCGAACGCCTTTTCCGTCTCCTTCTTCATAAAATAAATGTTTGCTCCTCTCTCCATTTTCTTTCCCACATTTTTTCTTGCCGACAATCTCCTTCAGCAAAGGTTAGCTGCGGAATCCAGCAAATGCGGCGTTGATACCTGTGCCGATCCCCACGTTTACATGCAATATTCTGTTTTGGATATATTTAAAATTTTCTTCACTACACCGATACTATTCATTTCCAATTTATAAAATATTTTTCGATTTCCCCGTCATCTCGAAACATAGCAATTGTCTGTCACATCATTCGCATTATTCATTAATCGCTATTTCTGAATTTATTAAATCAATTACCAAAAATGTACAGAAATGAATAAGAGTGTCACTTATCCTTTTTTTTGTGTGTGTGTGTCCTCCCCTAACTCGCCGTTAAGGCTATACGGGGTTTTCCCTGGCCAGAGGGTGTGGGCAGGGATTTAAAAGACGCCTTGGCACCGGGACGCGAACTCGTGACTATTTTTATATTTGATTAATATGTCAGGTTGCCGTGCAACGGTAGCGCTGTGCACACGCGTTAGCACATTTGGCCACCCCGCCCACAAGTGTCACTTATCTACAGTGATAAATGATTTCGATAAATAAAGTTTTCATAAGAGTAAGTTTATAAAGTTAACTTAATAAAAGTAAATACTTCTTTCATCTGATAAATTAATTTTTATTTAAGACGTCTGAATACTCGCTGAAAACCAAACCACATTCATTTCAAATCTTCAAACATTTCACTGTCACGTCGCGCATTTCAAATTCCAGGAGGCTGCTGTTGACAGAATTCAACAAGGCTCCCCTGATTGACACGGTGTCAGCCCCCCACCACCAGCCCTATAATGAGCCCTAGGAGTTGGTTCCCCAAAACCTACTCTCATCCCTTCCCTAGCTCAACGCGCAGGCAGTTCGCCTTCAGGTAATTTCGCAGAATATGACGGGCCACAACTTATTGACAAGGAGCTCGAGCGGGATTTAATATCCCAAGGTGTAATATCCTTCTGCCTCGAGCGGAAACAGTGGAAATGATGACTTCGTGGCTCAATTTCCTGTCACTCCTGCGACTCACGTTCCCGCTGATGTCCTCGGCGACAGCCTCCTCCTGGATATCTGCCACTTGGCGATGAGCTTGAGTTTACTCTACGCTGCTTTCGTTAAATAAAAGTTTAATTTATTTAACGAAAGCAGATAAGTAAAATTTATTTGAAATTCTGGTGCGATATATCACACAACTTTAACTTATCACCCTACTTTCAGTAGGAATTAATTTTTTCGTAAAATTAGTAAACTTTAATCCTATACATTATTTCTAAAAGGTGTTTTTTTGTCGGTACATTACAATAACTTCGTCAATTTTTCATCAAATCCAATGATTGACCTCTCATTTTGAAGATATTCTTCTCCTTCACATGTAAAAAATAGTCCTATGCTCCCGAAATTTCTGGAGGGGAGAAGTTATGAAGAAAAAGAAACTTTATTTGCGAATAACTCAAAAAGTATTTTCTGAATCGTATCCACAATAATTAGAAACATTACTAAATCACCTACATACAAAAAAAATTATTAACAATCATTAACAAAGATACAGTCCATTAGTTTCGGTATACTTAATAATGTCTTACTATTTAAACATATTGCATTTAGGAGTAGAATAGTGTACTACATTTTCTTTTTCTTGACTTTTATATTAACTTTATTATTTCTTCAAGACATTTGGTTGTTCTTACATTTTTTTTATTTTTATTAATTTAGAAAATCCAATGATCGCGCCATTATTTTGTCGTTATTACTTTTATTATCTTTCCAGTCAGCGTTTAAAAATAGGTCCTAGCAAAGCAATTTTTATAAATATTTTTGTCTATTATGTTTAATGGAATATTGTAATCGACCAAGGAAAAAATATTAATTCCTTCCTTACATAATACATAGGAACTACTTATCTCCATATTGTTTTACTATTTCTTTACCAATGAAAATTGTCTGCGAATTTTTCGCAGGAGCCAACTAGTAATACTATATTAATTATAAATACAAACTTATGACAATTAATAAAAATATGACAACTCTATAAACTAAACATGGTGACTAGGGATGAGCAAGACAAATTTTACGAGTCAATTACACACAGGAAAACAAATTTTAAAACCTGTTCTTGTCCTGTTGTTTTTAATTTAAATTTTATTAGCTAATTACATATTTACAATATTTCATACATGTATTAACATTTCGGTATTAGCATTATGATTTTGTTTGCAACAGATTGTAAATAAGTTAGAATCAGATGTATTAATTGTGCCAGTGATCATCACAGTGATTTCATTCCTTCTGCGACTAATTTTTTTTTTAATTATGTGTAAATAGAACATATAAATAATTAAACTAACAATAAATAAAAATGGGAAAGCTCTATAATGGCATGAGTAGTTTAATATGAGAGAAACCGGGTAAACACGGGTTTTCTCCGCTATTTCCGATTTCTCAGGTTATGTCTCTAGATTCAATTATCAATTGTTTGATCTATTTATTGAATAATAATACAATCAGCCACTGCTGGAGGGCTATAAGTATTATTGTTAAGAGTTCTCATTCAAACAATATATACAAATAATAGAGAAATAAATATAAATATAAACAGTAAATAAATAATACTGATGAAGAAAGTAAATAAAAGAAAAAAAAAAGTAAACAATAACATAAAATAGAAACTTCTAAATGCAATCATACCCATATACAATATATATATTCCTCATACCAGAAATAGCTCGACGTTCCGAACATTATGCTAAACAAACGCTTTAAACTCCAATCAAACTAGAAACGACTCATTTACTTGACTACAATAAGGCCTCTTTAGACTTATGTGGTTGAGTTTTGGGCTCCTGTAAACCATCAAATTCATCTCGTATCCAATCCTTACAATCTAAAATCCTTCGCAATCTAAAATCCTCAATACACCCTAAAATGTCACAAATAAAATTATCCTAAATGTTAGGCCAATCTAGATATCTATCAGGCGTCTGAGAAAAAGATGGCCTCGGGTCCGTCTAATATAGAACTATAATTAGTAACAATGGGTAGTTTCTCTTCTGTTGTACATGTCATAATTTCCAATTCAAATTTACTATCTGTGTTTTTATCTAATACAATTATAAATTTCAGTAAACATATTTTTTTGAATTGACACTTCTTTAGATTAACATGTATAATATTTTGTCAAGCAACGTATATGTAAGAAAAAATCAGTAGTCGAAAATTCTTTTTATTTTACAATTTTATTGCGATGTTTGCAATATGTAAAATTATATATTTTTATACAGGAGAATATATATGATATTGGACCTGATTGGATTTATTGAACCCTTCCTGCCCTGGACCCCAACTTCCTCCGTAAGGTTATGAGCCCTCAAGTGTAACAATCCTCTAATTCCACCTCAGCTCCAATTAAAAAGGCCATTAGGCGGTGGCAATCACTCTATTTAAGAGGATTTGTCTCTTAATAAGATCTTGTCGATTATTTCAAACTTAAATTGGGTTTAGTCTTGTTTCCATTTCTCTCGCTTGAGAAGAGGAGGGGTTAGTGTTGATTTTAAATACCTTTTAAAGTTTTCGAAATTACAGAGTCACCTGTACTGGACTGTAATTACGTATTACATTCGGTCTTTAATTTTACAGCAAATAGTTGAAATTACGTTTTAAAATACCTTTACGAATTCTTTCAAGAGCGGTGTCTAAAGAATGACTGTATTATTTTATTTCATTTCAAGTTATATTTTTTTGTTTTTATTACAGCTTTTATCTTTGTTATATGTACATTAGCTTTTACATGTATTTTTTATGTTTCTAATTTTTTATTTTATTTCATTGTTTAGTAAATATGGTATGAATGTGCTTTATAGCTCTAATACTCAGTACATGTATGTGTAGTAAAATGTATT